GTCCAGATGCAAACGCACCCGCTTGTGTGTGGGGAAAAACCGTCTTTCTACATTCATACTTTCATACCCTCTGCTCTTTGCCAAAATCCTCGTATTTTCTTTTACAACACGACCCCCCTCCCTTCAAAGAGAGAGAGAGAGAGAGAGAGAGAGAGAGAGAGAGAGAGAGAGAGAGAGAGAGAGAGAGAGAGAGTCTTCCATCCTATGGTAACTCTCTCTAGAAATGACATAACTAGGAATCCGCGAAGCACAATTCTTCCCACGGACGTCATTGGATTTTGTGCACACAGTAGTAGAACAGACGTCATAGAGGCTCAATCGACTGTTACATCACTTCCGGCACATGTACCTGTGACGTTCACTGCGTTCGCCCGCACTGCTTCATCGATGCGCGCGCTGACATCGTGTCCACGGGAGAATCTCTCCCTCCCCTCTCCCTTTTTAAAAATTCTCTCTTACACCCCTTCACAACGCGAAAGCCACTAACGCTAGCAAATGGATAACAAAAAATACATCGGTCATCGCCAATCGTTGAAAACAAAAACGAAAACAAACAAGGCGCTACAGCCCTTAATGTATTCATCATTCATGGTTGGGCTTAGATTCTACTTAGAAAAACATTACACTAACGTTCATATCGGACGTACGAAAAACCATAGATTCCAATCGTTATACTGTGTCATGAAATCCGCCATCCTAATAATTAATTGTGCCTCTACATCCTCTGAGAAAATGATCCGCTAAAAAAATTGTGAGTTAGATTTGCACATCATCATCATCTAGTGCCAGATCTGCGGCAGACATCGGCGATCATGGTTCTCCATTCATTCCTTTGCTCAGATGCTCTTAGATCTTTTCCCGATACCCATTTGTTCGGGTTGCTCTCGGCCTGCCCCTGCCTCGTTTGCTTTCAAGTTTGCCAGTGAGAGCTAGATGTTCAAGACCTTCATGTCTATTCAGGTATCCGATCCGTACATACTTGCGTAATTAAAAGACCCAACCATCCATAAACTTGTGAAGAGAAAAGCGCCACACATAGATTAACAGAAATTGGATGCTACAACCCAGTTTTGACAGAGATATTAAGTTCCCATTAGAATTTTCCATGGCAAAAAATCAACTGCACTTGGTCGAGGACAATTACAGCAACAAGTTTTACATATAAGATCATCTTGATGGTGTCACATATTACAGTCTTATGATGCTAAAACCATGAGACAGAAAACATTCACAATTCGCTCATACTTCGTATCCAGTTACTGTATCTACACTGGTCATAACAGATAATTGAGAAAAAATGGGGGTGGGGGGGGGGGAGGTGATCAGTTCTGTGAAATTGCCACGCGAAAATCCAGAAGAACAAAGAAAAGGGGGTAGAAATAAACTTTAGCTCCCCCCACCCCAAACCAAGTACGCACATCCACGGCCTTCGGTCTCCATGAAGCCACATTTGGGTTGAAGTGATGCCATACGAGAAAGGAGCTTTTAAATTTACTTTCAGATTTGGGGGCGGGTGGAAAATTAGTTACTTAAACCACGAGCACAAGAGGGTACCAATAGGAGGGGAAGTAACTGCAAAAATACTGATGCCCCATAACCAACGCAGAGGTACGTTCCTTTATGATCAAGCGAACACGTCAGCCACGGCTTTCCAGATAGACTTCATATGGTATTATTCATAAAGAATATGAAAATATGGCAACATAATGCTTTTCCTCACGAATGAAAACAATACACATTATGGCCATTGTAAGCTTACAGCTACAGCAAAGTATACATGTAAAAATCAAACACTTACAGCATTAACTTTCTCAAAATGTATCAAACATGAAAATAGTGTAATGATTGAAGGACTGTGAATGATTTACGCCCTCACTGACATGTCTTTAATCATTCAGGATATGGGCTGCCTCGACTCTGCATATAAATAGGACCAACCTGGCTGACAAAGATACACAATACAAGCAGGCAGACAGAGATACTTGATAAAAATGACTTTCCCACATGAGAACTGGACTCACATCTTCTGCATGCAATGGCAAAAGAGTTAAACCAATACAAAACAGGTGCTGGTTAAATGAGTGCTTGAACATTCTTCTACTTTACAAGCTTGAACCCTCACTACTATGAAGACATGATTTGGAATAACTGCCAGGAACAACTGCCAAATCTTCACAATTAATGGCTTCCTCCTCAGAAAGACACTCCACTTGAAGAATTCTCTCACACCACTCGAGAAGAGCAACATTCCTTTATCCTTTTCCATTTCTTCTCACAGCAGAGGATTTACACAGGAAAAAAGTGTCTATGCATCTCTAAACCAAGCACAACTTAAGAGTAAGACTAAAGAAAAAATGAAACGCTCAATGCAGGATGAATCTTTTCTTCCCATCACTGCCTTCTTATATTTCCATATTATACTTAGTAGAGGCATATTTTCACTTCACTAGGAAGCTGACAACTGACAATGAGTACAGACTTTGAAAAGTAGTCCAAAAGAAAAATCATTTGGAAAAACTGAGCAAATACAAAAGGAGACACTTTCAAAATACCCCAGCTCAGAGCTGATACAGGTAAGCAGGTTGAGGCGTGAAAACATTATTCACAGGACAAAAACAATGAAAAGCTCAACTTTTGCTACATCAAGTCTGTTGATTTTCACAGAATAATTTACGACATTTCATAGAGAATGTAAAAGAAACGACCCACTGGACTTCTCTGAATTCAACAAAAAAAAGAAGCAAGACCAATTATGGGGGAAGAATGGACGGAGCAAGATCAAGCATATTTACATTTTCTTTCTTTTTAGTGACATTTTTAGCCCAAATCATGCACTACATTTGTCCTCCTCACATACAACAAATTTGAAAGCTCTCTTTTTTTAAAATCCGTTATTCACATTATTTAGTCAGATACTTCCTTTTTTTTTCCACAAACTGCCACAGTACAAGCAAGTTGAGGTACATGTTGATGGTGAGTCCAAAATCTCGGGTGCAGCAGATGAGACTCCTGAGGTACAAGTGAATGTTCTTGTACAAACTTGAGAGAGGGTGTTTGATTCTTTCAAATTCAACACACCTTTCTGTATTTCTTTCTTGAAGGTGTTAAAAAAAAATGTTTGATGACATAAAACAATTTCCATGGATTTTTCATGCCAAGTGTGGTTGCATGAAATCAATTTCATAAGTCAGACACAGGAAGCAGGAGGTTAGTTGGCAGTCAGATTTAACTATATCTTGTAATATCTTGTAAGGACGTTAAATATCCCGATTCATTCCTGGACATAATGCGGCGGTTATCATGTAGACTGTCAAAAAAAAACCCAGCCCGACAATGTAGACATGTAGACTGTTTCAAAATGTAAAACTAATCCATGATCTTGTCCATCCAAAACTTTTCCCAATTTACTCCTGCTTAAGGATGGGGAGTCAGTTTTAGCTAATATTCATACCTTCCACTCATTGCTTCTGAAATGGTTTTGTAGCTGAAAGAGCTCATTTCCAAGTCTTTCCAGTTCCTTAATCATACAAAGCTTGAGAAGTGAATGGTGCTCATTATCATCAGGTTAACTCACACACGAAATCATTCAGAATCAAAATTCTTTCTGCAGCAAACTGAATGATCAGAACATCCTTTCCAAAGAATAGACACACTGTTATGCAGTAATGATCACATAGTCAATACTGTTGGTCCACAATCCATGTTTCTACTTAAAAATGATGAAATTTTCTGTGATCTCAATTAAAAATCAAAAAGTCACATATCCACTACAGCTGTGTCAGTTGCATTGACTACTCGTTTTTCCAAAAAAACTATAGCCACAAACACAATAGTCCTAGTGAGGCAGATTTGCAATTGCAAATTTGGACAAACGAGGATTATGCTCTAAACTGGACCATCTGTAATAATGGCGGTCACTCCCAGGGAGACTTTTCCAGGAGCAAATGATGCTACACCAGATCAAGGTATACTGACAATCTGAGAGCAACCCCAGAACTTTTGGGACACACAAGGTAAGGATGATTTTAAGAATATTTGTGTGCATAACAAGTGTGAACATACATGTAGGTATAGATATAAAGATAAAACCAATATCTCTAAATGTGACCATATCACAAGGATTAAAGTGTGCAGAATTGATTTACGAATTCAGAAACGCCTCTACCCCAATCTGTCCTCTGCTGTTCAAACAAGAGGACTTGATACAAAAACAGGGACCGAAAAAGTTACAATCTGAAGAGAAATCAGATGGTATTTAAATTCATAAACTGTCAAATCACTTACCTTGTCTCACAAACGTTTGATTTACATCTAGCAAGATGTCACATCCTTCCACAATCATACGTTCTATGGCCAGATTTTTTCTGATGTTTTCTGTCTCACTGACTTCATCATGCATAACCTGAAGAAAGAAGAAACCTCTAGGTAACTTGTGCACTATAAATGTTAGTTTTTTTACATGTATAATTGATGCCTTGCTAGACACAGACAGGTTACTTTGAAGGCAGCGCATTTCGCTCAAGGATTAGAATGAGGAAAAGAGAAAAGACGAAAGAAAAAAGACATTATTCCAAAAGCAAATATCGTATGTGTTTATTTGGGTGCAGATGTTGATGTGTTGTATTTCACCATCAGAGGGATCGCATCTTCTGCAGGAGGGACTTCTGTTAATTTATTGTCCCTCACATCAAACTGGGGGAAGGGAGAGGTGGTGAAATGTGAAACAAAAAAATGTTAACACCCTTTGTTTTTGAATTATGCTTAGTAGACATTTAAATGGATCATTACATTTTTCTGCAGGGGGTAGTGCATACATATAGGAATGTATGTGTGTGTGTGTGTGTGTGTGTGTGTGTGTGTGTGTGTGTGTGTGTGTGTGTGTGTGTGTGTGTGTGTGTGTGCGTGTCCATGGGCAATTGTGCATTTGTTTTCATGTATACCTGTGTATGAAAGCATGTGTGGTTGTGCAAATTAGTATACTTTTTCCATTTCCAAGTAAGACAAAAACTCTTGAATAAAATGAGAAGCATGTGTGGTTGTGCAAATTAGTCCGTTTTTTTTCCATTTCCAAGTAAGAGAAAAACTCTTGCATAAAAGTACCTTACAATAACAACAACACCATGGCACACTTACCCTGGAGAGCTCCTCCAACTTGCTCTTGGCAAACTCAAGGCTTTCTCGCTCTACATGATCATGTGGGGTGTGGGCAAGCAGTTCATGAAGCGTAATGATGTACCTTGGAACCTAGGAAAACAAGAGGTTATCAAATACAGTTGAACTTATTCCAGACAAGTGGTGACATTTCTCTTGTTGTGTCTCTGTTCACTTGTCTCATCTGTAACAGCATTTATGAGTGTCACTCAGTGTGTTGTGTGGCAGTGCTGTGTCCAGTGTCCGTTCACCTGTGTATTATCATCTATCGATGTCTACCACTCAAACTAGTAAGATGCTTTCTGTTTAAGAAAGCCAAGCTTTCAAGTATGGCTTGTCCGTCTTGCTTTATTTCAGACGATTCCATTGTTGAGGAGAAAAGTAGTCATCTTAGACAGGTGGTTCTCTTGGACAGTGTCATTCTAATAAAGATAAAATGCAAAAGAGGCAGTGGGAGGTGGCTGTTTGTACAGGTGGTTGTCTTGGGCATATGGTCATTACAGAAGGTTCGACTAATTTGAAAGCCAGCACATTGGCACAACTCAATTCAAATGGATTTGTTTGTGTCACAGAGAACACCATGACCAAAAAGAGATTGATAAGTTGGGTTGAGCTGTGTTCTACATACAGTAACAAAGTGTAAATAATACTTCATTTTACCTGGAACAAGATAGGAACATCAGAAAATCTAGAAGAAAATCATTTAAGCCATTCATTGAAGTACACCGTAATGACAATGATAGTTTCCCTGTGTTGCATGAAGCATAAAATCATACAGGCAGGAGGTAAAAACCTACCAAAAGTACTCTACTTAGTTTTAGTTTTAGTAGAGGTTTTACAGCGCTCGCAACTTCATAAGGTCATATGAGCGCCAGAAGATTAGAGGTGTTACAAGAGAGTAACAAACATAAAAAAGAAAAAGGGGAGATAATGACGATAGATGTTTGATAGGAAAGAAGAAGCAAACCACACCAGAGCACCCGCCAACTACCCACAAGTACTCTACTATTCATAATTACAGCCACAACTACACTTCAAGAACAGGTTATTAAAACAACAAAACAAATAAAAACTTCTAATCAATCTCATATAGCAACTCAATTCCCTCTTCAGAAAATTAACTACCTAGTTAAAGCTTTCACAAAGCTTATCTTGACATTGGGAATATTAGTAAAATCTTGTCTAAATTAATTTGTGAGAAATAAATCCCAAAGTATTCAACTCAAGACAGATATCCTCTTAGGATAATGAAATGAATTGGAAAGGATTCAGAAGATATAAATAAGGACAAATTCACACCGAAAAACTCATAGTTGGAACAAGAAGTATAATTTCATCAAAACATGGACTTACATGATTAAAGTGCCAACGCTGCTAAAATGTGTGTCTCCAACTGACTGTCTGGCTATTGGGCTGAAGAATCATATCCTTGACACAAACAAGTCTACAGCTGTTTCCCAGTCTGTCGAAGAGCATGTCTCAAGGATATGCTGATCACTCTTTCATCATTACGTGCCTGTTAGTGCCATGTATGCCGGTCCCCCAAAGTGTGAGTACAGACCATCACTGATAACTAATTAATAGCTTCCTGTGTACGATGTTAAGTGGGTAGGATAATGAGACTGGATACTCTCTCTCCATATTTTCTGTGCCTATTTGTACAACTGTAGGTGAATCGAGATCAACCAGACAGCAATTTGAGCACTCCTATTAAATTTATCTTCTCGTTAGGTGCTCTTTACCCATGTATATTTAGGACAGAAGAGCTATGTGACTTTCCTCAGTTTGCATCTTTGCATCTCTGAACAGTGCTGGTCCAATCAGGGTATAAAAGCCCACTTCTTATCTTCTAGAGAGTTGACATAGAGTCTGTTGTACTCAGGATGTGCATAAGGGCATCGTGTACTGCTGTCCTATCAAGTATTTTGAAAGCGGCCTTCATCTACATAATCAAACTTGCTGTCATGCAGTCAAAAGCCACACATGCTCCTGCTGTTCAGCTCTAGGTTATGATGAGACAGCATGTGATCTGACACATTGTTGCCCCGAACAGAACACAACAATAAAAAATATTGAAAAAATGTAGGAGAAAAATCCCATTTCAGCAACCACTTTCAAGGATATAACAGACAAGAGTAATATTGTTCAAATAGTTAAAAACCCAAAAGACAACAGGCATCTACCTGGTGCATAGGGTAGGTGAGGAACGTTTCAAGAGTGCGCCCTTCACAAGCTGGCTTCTCTTCATAGCGCTTCAGTAGGTTGTTGAATTCAAATTTCTGTTTATATTCCGCTAATACCTGCAAAGAAGAAAAAGGCACAAAAGTTAAAACATAGATTGTGCTTTCCACTTTATCCCAAAAACAGTTCTGTAAATTTCAGTGATGGAGTCTTAGATTCTGCTAGCCACATCGGCACAATTTTGGGTAACAAGTTCAAACTCACTACTCTAATTTGAATGGTGTATTATTATTATTCCTGGACCATTTTTCCTCTCAGCTCCATGTCCAGATATAGAGGAGGATTGCCAAAAGCTTAGTCTTCAATACTGCTCCCACCCAGTCTTGTAGTATAACACTCAGAAATATAAAAAAAAGGTACTGGAAGACTGAACTAAAGGAGTAAAAGGTGGAAAAACATAAATACTTGTCTCTATTGTCTCTGGATACAGACCTGTAAACTGTAGTGATGGTTGCGAACATATTCCTGATAGATGCTAAGCATGGGCAGCAACATATCAAACAGGTCTCCTGCAGAGATGAAGGTAAAAAAAAAGAAAGAAATATTAACAAAGTTTCTTTTTAAATACACCAATAGGTCACAACTTTTCAATGCTGTTCTTTTCCACCAAAATAAGGCTAAATATCATTAACCCCTTTGTGACCAAAATGCTGGGCGACGTTCACCATTTTTTTTCTTATGCAACAAAGGAGGCAAGATGCTGTTGTGATGAATGGCACTCATCATGCCTTGCAAAGCAAGAGGGCCATAATGACGCACACTGTCAAATTTTGCATTTAATGTAGAGTTTCTATTTAACACTTTGTAAAACTAATTGCAGATTCAAATTCAGCGATACCCATTCCTTAAGAGAATATATTTTGCTTTTAGAGACAGTCTGTCATATTTATAAACCAGATCTAGTTATTAGCGATCACTGCTAACCCGAGCACCACCCTTTGTCCCTGGGGATCCAAAACTGCGCTCGGTGAAGCACAAATTGACCCTGCGTCACAAAGGTGTTAACCATACAGGGGGTCTAATGTACCCTTTTAAATCGAGCAAATTCATTAAAATATTAATAGGACCGAAGACTATGAACCTGAGGAAGAATTACTTAGCTACTTTCAGTAATGCCATTTCCAGGGTGACATCTCTTGGGGATAAGTGCTGGGTTGTGAGATCACAGGGATTAGTCAAGTAATCTTTGTGAGCATTTCGCAACGATGCTGAGCTGTACACTTTGTGCTTAGCATTATAAGCCTACTTATTCAACTAGCTGAGTCTACAGCATCGAATAGGGTAGCAAAGCTGGCCTATTTAGGCTAAACATATCAGGTATAAACTGATAGTGCGTAACTTTGGCATATATATAAGGTAAAGTCTCCAGGAAAACCAGTCCAAATCTAGCAAAAATGGTTGTTGCCATTCCATAGATCTTCTAAAAAAGCTGGAGCTGTTGTATAAGGACACATCTTATGCTCACTCGTGGTCTTTTCTAGGATTAACAAACAATGAAGAGAAACAATAGTGAATAAATGTCAAGAACACTGACCTAGAACTAGAGTGGGCCAGTTCTCAAGACGAGCTGTGAGACCCTTCAAAAATATTTGGTGCAGAAACAACAAGGTTTCACTGTAAAAGACAGAAAATGTTACCATTGAAATATATACAATCAACAAGACTGGCACACAAAAGCAAAAAATTGTTCAGAATTAACTGATGTCAAAACAGTAAAGTAACTTAAGCTTAAGTCTTTGCCTGACAGAAACCACGCTGACATCAAATTTGCTACAAAGTGAGAAAACAAATCAAATTCTAAAGAACAGACAGAGACGACCTATTGACCCAGCATCTTTCCTGACAAACAAACATTAATTGCTAAACCTTTAAGTCTTTAAGTGTAAGTTCTCTAACAAAATGAAACAGGAAAGGGGGGGGAGGGGATTTACCTCAGAACTGAACTGCCATTTCAAAATGTTCGTTTGGAAACACAATTGAGCAGAGGCCTGACCGTGTCTTTATTTCTAAAAAGTTACAAGAAAATTGTGAGAACTAGGGAACAACAATAGACTATGAATATTTTTGTTGGCTTGGACTGCATTTGAAGAGAGTTACTCTGGTTGATTCATTATCATTTATGAGGCATTTGAAGCACTGAAAAGGTAAAAGATTATTTCTCATCACATCTGCTGTACTGCTGTATAATTCATAATATATACTAGATCTAGATCTAACAACTTTTTAAAAAAGCAAAGCTTTTTTTCACACACCTATTTAAAAAAATGGAGTTGACGTCTTCATGAGTGATCGGAGGTTTCTTTGAGCTTGCAGCCATGCGGAGCGGCCGCAGGAAGCACGTGACCAGACAAGAAAGCTGCCGGTTATACTCCTCTTCACATTCCACCATACTGAAAAGACAAAACACATATTTGTGAAGAGGACATGAGCAGGGTAAAGCTGTACTTTATCACAAATCAGCATGATAACAGCCATTTTGTAGCTGGAAGCAGGGTAGAATTACAGTAAAGTAAAAAGTAAAGTTGTTCCCGCCTCCGATCCGGACACTGGGGATTGCCTTGTTAGTGAGACAACTTCCATGCCACCTTTACTTCCCCAACTCGAAGTCAGGTACCCATTACTGCTAGGTGGGCAGAAGGGGGCGAAAAAATCTGAATCCGAACCGAGGCTCGAACCCGGACTTTCCGTTTTGGAGACGAGCGCACTAACCGCTCCGCCACCGCACCCTCAGAATTACAGTAGAATAGATAAAAAGGAGAAAGAGCAAAGCACCAAGTGCAGGGGAAAAAGAGCAAAGGTTAACAAAATGCAGCAGACATCATCTATTGTGTACTCTGTCTAGATAATAGTTATTTTACCTTTATTTTATATTTTTGTGCCCTAAATAAAAAAAAGAACTCAAAGCTAGTAAAAGCATCCTTCCTCGAGATCTATGAAGGAGCCAGACCATTTAAAAAAATAAAAAACCCTCTACCCCCTATTCATTAACCAGTCATGCTATGCACTTAGGAGCCAAAAATTACATGCCCCTGAGACCTAGCCACAGAATGCAGAGGAAGAATAAAAATTAGAAATAGTGTAAGATACCTGAAAACAATGCTGTTCCTTTTGCGCATGCTTTCAGCATGAGGTGATCGAATATACAACTCCACAATCTGCTTCCAGCGTCTTCTGCACAGCCAGCCACGGAAAAAACTTTGTACCTGTTCAAGATGCAAGAATAAAGAAAAAGGCACCAGTGCATTGTCTTACTGTATTCCTACCACCAACATCTTTTTCCTCAGATCAGCTGTTGATTAACTACCATTACAAATGATAATATTTCAGGAAATATTTACGAAAAAAACCCCCAAAACAAATCAACTTTAAACATAAAGTTGGGGAGAAAGAATAATTTAAGGTGAAACCATGATGTAAAGTATCAAAGGGTATTTTCAAGAGTAAAAAACATGCATCAATTCAATTTTGTTTTTAACTCAGTGCCCTCTTCTGTGCTTCTCTTTCTTTTCTCCTCAACAGAATAATATATTAAATTACGCCATTGCAACAAATCTTCAAAACTCATAACCATTATTAATGGTATGTTAATTTATCACGTTGTAGTTTCCTTTTTCTCATTTTAAAATGGAACCATGTCTCACTCTTCTACTTCTAGTATTGAAAAACATTAGTCAGAACTTGCTGAAATCTTTGCCCCATCTTCAAGTCACCTGTGACGTATTAATTATTTTGCTTTATCTGAAGTCATTTTCAACATTTTCTGCAGTGAGCCTTTTTATTCTAGACTGCTTTACCTACAGTGACTATAAACTATTTGCTGTTCACTTCTGAGAAATACAAGCAGGGAGAACGAATCAAAACAAAATTCCCCACTCTTTTCACACTGGGGGTTGCAGCCTAAAAGAGAAAAAGAAGAAAACCTCAAAGGGTGGTAAAGGTAGAGGGAAAGACCATACAAAACTGAACATAAAACCTCAAACTTTTCACCTCTTGATTTCATCGTCTATTGCAGAAGGTCCAAATAATGATTTGCACTGAACAAAACTTTCATGTCATTCTAGCAATTCACCACTTTGAGCACATCGGGTGTGAAATATTGCGTGAAAGCGCCGTCAAGAGATTAAAAGGTCTACTCTACCTGTGACAACTGTGCGAAGTGAAAAAGCATACCGACGCGGTAAAACAATGACTGTGACCATAGCCAATCGAGACAACCTAGATAACCGGTAGACTTTGACGACTCGTCTTGTCGACTAGTGAACTACAAAATAAGAACAGTTAAAATCTTTTTTCAAAACTTGTAACAAATAGCACAGAATATCAACTTAATGTAATGTATAAACCTCCACTTTATACTCATTAATCACTCTTCTAATAATCTTTCAAAATATCCAACCTGAGTTCCCAAACACACAGAAGTACAAACAAATACAAGTACACAAAAAAGCACACATCTAGATTTTGCCTGGATAGAAGACATTTTAGAAAAAAAAGACTCCATTATCATGTAATGTCCCTTTCGTATGATGTGTGTTAATACATGTACTTCTATGTCTAAGCAGTATGAAAATGTTCAAAATGTTAACTACATATGGATGTAAAATCTTTCGAATAAACATAAACACCACTAGAAAAAAGGTCTCCCTTACATTTGGTAAGAGTTTGAGACTTCCCTATTGAACATTGAAAACACCTCTGAATAGTCTGCGAGCTTGTGCAAGTCAGGTAAAAAGTTGAAGGGGAAAACAAAATCTTTATCTAACAGGCTTTCTAATTATGCTAACGAGGTGTGCATAGACTACAGCACTGCAGGTGCGCTATGGACATGCCTGTTTTGCATAGTTTGGCTTTTCACACCAACAAACATAATCAAACACTGACTTCATGGTTTGTACAGAAAACAGAAAATAATTGCATCCCATCCAACGTCTTGACCTGGACTAACAATACATGCTGCATTACCATTCTATACTTTTAAAGAAATGAGGAATCATCACTTGTAAATTAGGGATGGCAACACGAGACACGCAAAAGAATTGGATCTCTGCTTGCGTGAGAATATATTTTTCCCACATTGGTGAAGTTAAAAATATTTCAAAAATCAGTAACAATAAAGTTTGACAGAATTCAAATATCTTAAGTGAAGACACAAGACCAAGCTATGGTCGAGGCAAGGAAACACTTCTTTGTGTTTCATCGCTGGACCTTAGAATTGGTGTTTCATATAATTCCGAACATGAGCGCACATGAGCCTAATGAACTTTCATTAACAGTTGGTCCAACCAACCAGCTGGGAGGGCAGGGGAAGGTGTCAAAAGCACAATGCACTGCAGTAAACCTACAAATAAAGGACATTCTGAATGGTGCCACCACACATGACATCGTTTCAATTCTTTTATATATAAATAATGGGACAAGTATAACATGTTGTTAAGACTTAGTAGTGTAAAACAATGGCTTTTGATGCTTATCTCAGGACTGACAAGTGTACCTGAAAGTTCTGGTCATGGCATCATTACATTTGGATAAAAAAAGTAAAACTTTTCACCAAATGCAACTGGTTCATGACAACAAGGCAACTCTGTCATCATGAGAACCACATCAGTATAAGGGAGTCAGTATAAGGCTGAAGTAAAACAACCACTCAAAAGTAAAACCAAATCATGTAATACATTACCATGGGTTTGCACACTCATTACCCCATTTTTAATGTTTATCCCCCCTTGCCTTTGTTTTGAACATTGGGACATTACTGTGACATCAGGACTTGAAGCTTTGAAGCAGTGAAGACACAACACTGGCAGGGGTTTACTTATAGTCACATGTAATGATGAAGAAGCCAACTGGAGAGGTGACACAGAACTACAACAAACTCTCACACTTCCATTCCAACACATGTGCTCTCTCTCTCTCTCTCTCTCACACACACACACATTATGAGATACATGCAATGGAGGAGGAAGGAAGGTTAGAGCCTGGAAAATGGAAACACACAAAAGAATCACTGAGTTTCCAAACACTCTGCTATTTCACACCTCAAAACAAAATTTCAAAACCAACTCCTAAATAAAAGTTTTCTGGGTCCTCTAGAATTGAAGATTTCCACAGTAAATAAGGTGCACACATCACACATAATATTTTCACCTGGAACAAAACAAATAAGCAATAAAAGTGGAAGTTCGCTCACACATAGGGAAAAACAGAAAACATTAGACAGAGTACTCCTGGAGACTGCAGTGCTACTATTTTCCGACAGGAATTGCTGTGCAGGTCCATTTTCACAACAAACACATTCATTTTATTTGGGTGGCTTTTCCTCTTGATTTTGCAAACCTGAGTATTTCATCACAAAGACTAAGGAACGCTACTTTTCTCTTCTTTGGAGAAAAACACAAAATGTAATTGCAAGATGTTTTCCCTAATAGAACATGAACCAGTAATAAGTCCTTGGAATGTGAAATGCTGAGTTATGTAAGGATGAATTTTTTTTCTTCACTTTTTCTATACCATGCACATTTTTCTATTCACAGCTTTTAAATGCAAACTGTGTGAAAAGAAGAGTCAAATAGTCAGGGGTGGTAAAATGATCTTTATACTTATAAATTTGACTCCTACATTTGGACTATAATGACTTTATTGAATGCATGTTCCTTACGTACTCAGTAAATATGAATTGGATTCTTAAATATTTTTTCTTATCAAGTTGTTTTTTTTTGCTTTTTTAAAATGAGAGATTCAGAAACTTGTTTGACGGACCAGTTGAGGAATAAGTTAAGGTCCAACTGCATTCATACTGAGCTGAGGAACATCCACCTTATCATATATAGGGACCGCTTCATATTTGACCACATATTTTAATCAGCTAAACTTTAAAAAAAGACAGCACTTCCACTAATGACATCCATTTATTCAATGCTTATACCCATGGTCAACAATACCCAGAAGGTGAGCTAAAAGGGAAAGGCAGAGGGAATCTACGGGAAGAGGGTAGAAACAAAAAATAAAGGGATGAGAATGGTCTTCTGATGAAATGTCTAATGTTGGGATAAGCAGACACCAACCTGATAGAAACAAATCTATAGCACACAATATCTGGGGCTTGTGACTTTATAGCGGGGGACTGTGTTGTAACTCTCTTGACTAAAAGGCTCTACTTGTGCGGTTCTAACACATTTACTGTCACACTGTCAGCAGTTTAAACGCAATCACTGTCAGACTTTGAAATCAAAATGTTAATGACCTGAGTACTAGAATTATTCCACTTTCTTGACAGATAAACTATTTTACCAACTATATGCCAAGACGACTGTAATGTCTCATTGCACCTTAGCCATGCCAAATGCAAGTACTTATCACAATTTTCGTTTTCTTTAATACATTAGACTTTTAAAAAACTTTAGTCCCTTTTCATAAAGCTCATAACAATGTAACTCAGACTCCAAATGAGTATGTTTTACTTACTGAAGTCGGTTTAACAAAACATTATTAAAAATGGTCAATGTGAAATCTTAATACTGTCCCCAAACACATAAAGCCAACACATGACTGCTGAGATTCACTACAAATAATTCTAGGGCGTCCATTTCACTATCTTGGAGTGGAAGGAACTTCTATGCAAAATACAATAGCAGCACAGGAGACAAAACTCACCGATAAAAACTGGCAAGGGGGGGGGAAAACAAGATGAAATGAGAGGTTAGGGTGGTAACATTGGGTGTTTTTTGGCAAGGGGGTCGATAAAATAATATAAGATCAATATGGAAAACTTATTTTGCTAGAGATTCCAACTTTAGTGGGCATGGTGCTGTTGGGAGTTATAAAAAGTGTCATTCATAAAGGCAAAAAGCACAACATGTTTATGACACAGTCATCTTAAGAAGGGAACGAAAAATATTGTTTACCTCCTCAGTCTCAATTTCAATGAGAAGCAAAATACTGCTCCCAGAACACCAAGGCAATAGACACAGTTCACTACAGGTTGAAATGTGTTACATAAAGATCCAATAAGTTAACTAGTGACAAAAGGGAAAACACATGAGGGAGAAAAAAAAAATATCACACTTTGGAGAAGGGATTTTGTCCTGCAAATGCATTGTACTAATGATACACCTGGGACTTATCTAATTCGTTGTTGACCATTCAAACTTCCAAGGATATTAAAATGTGTGTCTATTTCTCTGATATTATTGATTGATGGCTATGATGAAAGCTTTTTTCTAGAGATTTCACAGTGGAACATTCATTCAATACCAGGCCTATACTGTACCCAAAAAAAACTTTTTGTCTGAAAAAGTCTTTTACGCTTGATGCTTCTATGATTATCACAAAGAAACTCATTAAAAAGTGGTCCATTAAAAACAAACACATTTGTCACGACACTGTGGAATCAAGTGCACGTCAATTTTTGGGCATGTGGAGTTATTGGTATCATCTTCAAGCTTTTCATTAGTCTTGCTTGCGATGACAAAAAATACCCATGTATCTTGAATAGATGTCGAGATACTTGCGATATAAGGAGGTTGGGGACGCCTGGTTTCAAAGGTAAAACTAATGAGAAAATGGCTGCCAAAGTTAGGTTACTTCCAAAGATTGAGAGACTTTGGAAACTGCAAATTTAAATTTTTGATGCCATTAACATGTGTTTTTAAAAAATAGTAAAATCCATGCAGATGTGTGCTTTAAATGGACAAAAAAGGTGTTGAGCTAAAAAAAGAAAAATCTGATAAAACTTGCCACATTGGCGGAAAAATGCCTGTTTCTTCTATTTCATTATTCTGATGAGCCCTTGATTTCACCATGACGAGTCAAATATTATGTCTTTGGCCTACTTTCCCTCCTCTACTATTTAGTTAAATATACACGAGCTTTTACACGACAAAGACCTGATTGTACTCTCAGCTGTGAGCAAGTCTATTTATGTTGAAATACATTATCTATACAAAAACCCCCACAACAAAAATCATAAAAGGCACAGGATGAAATCTATGGAAATGGCTGTCCTATGTACATGTTCTCTTTTCTTAGGGTAGACTAACACAGCAGAAAAAAAAAAATGTAGGTTTTTTACTATAACGTTGATGCAGATAAAAGTACCATGAAAACTGTGAGATTTCAATAAGGACGGAACTCAAGCCTAAAATTTCTTAAAGCAAAAAAAACAAAACAACAACAACAAAGGACTGAGCAAAAACCAATAAAAACTATAAAATTCAGAGGTAGATAGAGTCAAAACTGATCATGGACATTTCCCTGAAAGCCTGCAGTAAACCCCTAAAAAATTTCAAGTGTTAAGTTTTCTGATTACAAACAGATTCACTTTTGCTTCTTCCTTTATGTTTCCTTTATCATTAAGTAAGGCAACATACAAACTAACACAATACCAAATATTCTGCACACACCATTAGTACATTTACCTGCTCAGCTTATAGTGATTATAATACTTTCATCCTCCAAAATACATACAAAACATATTTTCACATACTGGTTGATATGAACACCCCCCCCCACAACATTGATTACAGGGCACACCTCAACTATACGAAAGACAAAACAAAACAGCCCTCCTGTTTCCCTGAAAAAAAAAATCCCAACCAACAGCAAACACAATAACAACCACACCCCCCCTCCCCACCAAAAGATAAATGGTCATAAGACACGGAAAATAGACCTTCTCAACCCTTGAAATCATTAACTTTCTCGTCTGATATCAGATATATATAAAGGCGTTTGTATAAAAAATAGAACTTCTTCGTATTAGACTTGGTCATTAGCACAGTATACTGACAATATAGTTATTAGTACACATGGTGTTACACCTAGGAGACAGTCACAATGACAATGGTCTATTAATGAAGTGGACATTTTTAGGGACACAATAAGACCTCATTATGTAAGTGAAACGGAACCTTAAACATTATCTGAATCAAAAACAGAACAAATGAAAAACTACCCGCAGTTATTCAAACAATATAATCACAAGTTCCTACTACCACTGACACTAAAGCACTTATAAATTCAAACTGATACTGCAGAGAAACACCCTTATCTTGACAACCTCTTGAAAAAGAAAGTATAGTAACATTTCATATCAAAACCTTTGATACACGTTTGAAAAAAAAGAGGGAAATAGTTTAAGTTGGGAGCAAAAGCTATTGCAAGAAATTGAAGGAGAAATCTGAATTTTTTCTGAAAAAAGGACAGTAAAAAGGAAACATTTCAAAGGAACAATTACAGCTTCTTGCAAAGCAAAATTAATCACAAACTAACGAAACATTGCTGACCTCTAAAGGAAAAAATCAAAGTACAGATGTCAGATGGGAAGAAAAAGTAGGTGTGAAGAAAGTGTACCTTTTCAAGGAACAACCTAATTCCAGTGGAAATGGAAATCACAAACTGAATAAAGGCACATATGATTAAATACCCAACACAGTAGGGAATGATTGAAACTAAGAGGTTAGTATATGGGATGCTACATCATAATAATGAAAAAAAAAAACAGAAAGAAAAAAAGTACCAGTTGCCAATACGAGGAAAAGTAGATATTATTCAGACAGAGGGTTCCCATCAAAAGATTTCTGTACCAGCCAACCAAGGATAGGTGAAGAACACACTGACTAGAGGCTACACTGATCTCAAATAATATGCTGACTTGGTCCAGATACATAGGGCAAAAATCATAGGGGTAATGTAAGAGAGAAAAAACCTCAAGGGAGACACAGAGGTGGCAGATCAACCCATTCTACTCTATGAACTCATACACTTGCCTAGTTATGAGGATTAGGATACCACAATTTGTCCTTCTTTTTTCTTCCACTCAATAATTACGTAACTTCTGTTTTATGAAACCACATTACATGGTCTTAACAACTGCGGTGAAAACCATACACCATTTACCAGGGCATTCATGTGCAAGTACATGAGCTTTTACGGAACAGAATAATAATTCTTGAGGGCAAACTGTGTGTTGCATACAACTCACAAAAAGTGTATCAAAATCATGCCACCAGACAAAAACAAAAGGTGACTGTCAGCCCTTTTAAAGTTCTTCTGGTCTCGTACGTTTCTTTTTATATTAATTTTGCAACATTCAGAAGTGCCTGTACTTCTTTGTGCAAGTCTCACCAATACCTGGCCTTAGGGAAAATAGAGACAAAGATTTTTTCTTTACCTCAATGTGTACTTTTACGCAGTAGGAAATCTATACGAATAAAATATCTGTTCAAATATGTTCTTTGAGGCTCAGGTATACGTGTGTATCAAAACAGAAAGGGAAAAAATTATTTTTAGTATATATCCATGACAAAAAGAAAAGGTTCTAACCCATTATTATAATATCACGAAAACTCTTAAATTGCTTAAAACCAAGTTTTTAAAGTGTATTTATTTCTCATAAGGAGCAGTTGTGAATAACATCATGGTAAAATATTCTCTCAAGCTTGTTATGCATATAAGCATTTCACATCCATGTCAGAGTGAATGAGCCCTACTTTTTCCCCACCAGATGGACTGCTGAGAAATCAGCAAAGTGAGAAACAAGAGGTTTGGTGCTGTGCTGTCTTGAGACAAATATTCTGACCAAATGAAAAGGCTTACGGCAACCTCTTGAAAGCAATTTTTCTTGCACTGAGAATTCCCCACAAATCTACAATAGAATTGTGAAATATAGCACTTCAAGTTATTAATTTCAAAATTTCCCAGAAAGCCAAACATAGGTAGACTTTTCAGCACAAAGATGGGTTCTTGACTGACACAGAAGCATTTATGTGAATAAAAATCAAATCATGTGAATTCTAGCAACTAACAGGTGAGTGTGTAACAGCTATCATTGAAAGGCAGGCATCAAACTTATAACTTACGTCACCCAGCCAAAATCAAAGATTAAGGAACCATTACAGAAGAACTACTGCCAAAATAGGAACGGTCTGTATGCTATTTTGTTTTTTCTAAACCTTTCTAAAAGGAGATTACTTCACTTATTTTATTTCATCATGACATCTTGAATAAGTTTAATGCTTTCTTTACTAAATGTTTTGCAAATCAACCCACGTCATTTTTTGGTTCCAGACAGGATGTTAGTAGGCAAAATACCCTTCATCATATCCTATTACCAGTTCAGAAATCCAATTTTCATAAAAAGTTAGATTTAGAAATATTGAGAAACCATCAGATGAACTATCACAATATTGAGTAGAATGAGTGGGATATGCCTGCCCTCCAAAATGGACTAAAACACAAACAACATCAAAGGAATGAAGGAGGTAGCTAAGGCAGGCAGAAGAAGTAACTTGAAAGACCCACTGAGACTGCAACCTTTTTTATTTTCTTCAGGTCATCGGTTTCTTCGTCGACCTTACAGTGGTTGCCACACATTTCCTTCTTGAATTTTTGAAGCTGTGAAAAAGAACATTGCCAAAACAAATTATCAGTTTTGTAGAAAACTAACCTTGCATGAAAGGAAGATGAGATGAAATAATAATGATAGGTTTTCTAAAACAATACTTATTGCTTCATTTTGTAAAAGCACTCAAGACATATTGATTACAAATATTTTCTGGAAAAAAGAGGCAATTCTTCTTTCTAGTATGTATGATGTCTGTCTAAGAAGAAAGTTTCCTGGTCCTGTAACTAACTCACTTTTCAAGCCAATTTTAACATCAGTTAGCCTCACGGAAGCTGTCATTATGACGCTTTATTTAGGTTTACTTTTCTGGGGTTTGCTCGTGTCAAAAAGATAAAAGGCGAGTTCTCAAAATAATATGATGTTTATGTTGTCATGAAATTCATGGTTTGTTTCGAGAAATCAGCGAAAGAAATACATGATGCCCTTTTAAGGGAGTAAAAATATGGGCGTGAGAGATGAATGATGATGGGTGTGTCAGTCTTGAAGATGCGACTTTCATTTCTTTTCTCAAAGTTAAAGGACAAAGGGGTCAGCGATTTGAAGAAGAAATTGTGCTAGAAACAAATGCTGTGCTTAGGACTGTCTGAAGCGGTAATGCTGAGATCAATAGTTATGTTGAATAGCAATTATTTTTCTGTCGGGTAACAGTAACATGTATACATTTTCAGGTCCGTAAAATAAAAATTGTTGATTTTACTGAAAAGGGACATTTTTTTCTTGGACTAATCCCAAATACGCTGTTGTTACACAATTTATTACAGAAGGAAAGCAAAGAAAGAAAAAGGCAAAGAGAAGTCATTAGTGTCAGATAACTTTTAACAAATGTGTCACGACACAAGGGAATCAGGAGCTCTTCAAATTTTGGGCACATATATTGAATTATAATGGTAGGTTTGTAGACTTCCAAAAAAATCAGTGTCCCTAGAAATTGTAATATTTACATTTTGGGGCCTTTGAAGAACATTTTAAAATAAAATAAAAATCCGCACAGAAACGTGTTTTAAGTGGACATAAAAGAAAGACAATTCGATAAAAATAGCCTAACGGACAGAAAATGCTGTTATCTTTGATTTCATAAGTCATGATTATTTTGATGAGCACTTGATTTCACCCCAATGCTACACTAATGTTTTAGATATTAACATCCTCTACACTCTAAAAAGTGAAAGTTTCAATATGTAATTATATAGCTCTGTAAAAAAAGCATTTACCATCTATTTATAGCATTGTTATCAATTATCGTGACTCAATGGTTTCTGAATTTATAAATCCAGAAACATTACAATACTTGGCTAGAAGTACAGTAGTCTGCGCCTAAAATTCTGGTGCTCGGGAGCAAGGAAAAAGCGGGATCTTAGGTGAACGGGATCTTAGCTGACACATCAAGGGATGAATCTACGGTGACCCATGTTAAAGCCTACAAGCGGTAAAATGGTCTCCCTTCACTCTAAAATGAACTGACGTGACCCCTGGGTGGCTTCATGACATATGGCGAGTAAAGAGTGGTCAACCTCGTTGACCAATCACAGTGATATGAGGCATACCATTTTCATTTATTATCCTATCATGAGTCTCAAGATCTACGCTTATCCAGTCGCCCCTCCCCTTTACCTGTCCAAAATTTATAGGATTCCATCTCTGACTGGGTTTCCCCACTTTTGTCGTTATGCACCATTACGTTGAGATCATACCAATTAAAATTCAGTCTGTCATGCAAATTCGGAAGTAGAGACAACTGCTTCAATGGCCAGGGAAAAGTTCACAGTTCCATGTGATCCTGCCTAGAGCGAACTTGTAGGCCCGGGCCACCCAGCAAGTTATGTAAGTTTAGGTGGAGACCTCAGATGTGAGTGCGATGTTTGGGGAAAATGCGTCAGCGAGTTCACATCTTGGTGTGATCCCGCCGGGGGCAAACATTGTAACATTTCATAGAGTTTTACAATGCACATGATATGATAACATTCACGAATGTGGCTGATCTGTGACGCAATGGGCAGTTCAATGACCGCAACTTTTCACTCTTGGTTGATTGGCTATGCCTGCTCGGGTTTTTGTCCTGTAACTTATGATCTGAAATGCGGGATCTGAGACCTTCAGAGTGAAGAGCAAGATCTTAGGGGTGTCTTTTGCTTGGTAAAAATTATGTTTTCTTCAAATAGCGGGATCTTTTATTATTAAGCGAACTGGGATCGTAAGCAGTGGGATCTAAGGCGGAGACAACTATACAGAGTTTACACCTCTGCTTTTGGGCAGTCCACACAAACCTCATCTTTAAGCTTCTTGACTTCACAGGCCAATTCTTCAGTTTGCTGAACATATTGCCATTTGGCTTGTCTTTCCACATCCAGAATTTGAAGCAGGTGAAGATGTTTCTGCTCCAGTTCTTCTTTCTGTTCAAGAACTTTGCTGTACCTGAAATTCACATGAATACCAATATAATTAATAGGCTACTAATTTTAATTTAATAGGTGTTTGAATAATTCCTACAGAGCCTGCATAGATTTCTAGTTGACAAAGAACTGGTTCATGGTTTTAAAAGTTTTCATTCCGCCTAAAAATTAATGGGAATCTGGTTTTGGCACCAATGATTACTTACTACCCTCCTACTATCATGCTGCACCCTACACCTAATCGTAACCGTCCATACCCAAAAAAACTTACTATTGATGTTTCACTTAATTCTTCCAGCCAAATATCTGAGATTGCCAATTAATATATATATATATCTCTCTAGAATTCAAGAATAAGGCCTCTAGATCTAGATGTACGTTGTATCATAAATCTTATAATCTTGATCTATTATCTATTATAAAATGCAGTCATGATCATTCAATGTATGCTCTTGTAAAACAGAATTTTAAATAGGGAGTGTGTATACAGACCCGGTAACCGGGAACAAAGTTGTGAAGTACTAAACAGTCCCGATAGGGAAAAATCTTTTGTGATTTCGGAAAGTTCCAGCGCTGTCTTGGCCGAACAACAACATGACTTTTCATTGAAAATCGGACTAGACCTCTAGATTCTAGATCTAGGCTATTCATTGTTTCGTGAGCAGACGGCGTAGTCAGTGCAGCGAGGCTTTCTTTCAGTCCAAATCGAGTTTACAGAGTGGAGTGAAAGAGAGAGAGAGAGAGAGAGA